TTATTATTATTATTATTATTATTATTATTATTATTATTATTATTATTATTATTATTATTATTATTATTATTATTATTATTATTATTATTATTATTATTATTATTATTATTATTATTATTATTATTATTATTATTATTATTATTATTATTATTATCATTATTGTCATTATTATTATCATCATCAATCATTATCATTATCATTATAAACATAACAACGGATATAACGATAAATAATTGTCACTGACAAGAGTGATAAATCGTAATAAATAAAGTGAGACAAGATGAAAGAAAACCAAGCTGTCAATCATCAATCATAGCATAATGATAAGTGATAGTGACAGTATAACAACAATCGCAAGCAATAAAGTTTTTTTTTCTAAGTAACAGTCATATCACTCCCTTTAACTTTTTAATTTTCAAACTGTTTGATTATTTCAACCATTGCAAATTATCTGTGCATTTACATACAGAAAACTGCTGCAGTTCGCTCATTTCTGACATTTATTCTGTCTTAAATTTTAATAAATTTGAATTTCGAATCGATTTTTTTTTTCAAAGGACAATAAAGATTGCGAAGAGCCAGCAAATATAGTAATTTGCTAGGCTGAAATTGACGGGCCATTTTATGGATAGCCAATTTTTGGCCTTCCGGAGATATTCATCCATTGAAAAATGTCGTAATTCAGAAAGAAAGAGAATAAGAAAAGGAAGAATTCTCTTCCTTTTAACATTCTTCCATGAGAAAGATATCGTCATGAAAGATAAAATGCGCTTTGCAGCGGTGATAAACTGATAATAATTTTTGTGATATTAACATCATAAATTTCGAGTTAATTCAAGCACAGCAATTTATAACTGTAAAAGTTTACAACTTTGCAGCAATGATAAAAATGATAATAGTTTACAACTGTAAACTGCACTTCGTAAAAATAATCAGTTTCATTATCGTAAATTGCAAAACAATGAGAAAACACTTTTGAAGCATCCATCATCTGTTAATTAAATTAATGTAAATAGTGTGCGTCATTTGTTAATTAAACTATTATAAATGGTGTGTGTCATCTGTCAATTAAATTAATGTAGGTAAGAGATAGTATAGTAATTATTGCAGGAATTAAGGTGAAAATTTATTAAGCAAATATTCAGCTGCTAAAATGAGCAATTAATACTTTTACCTTCATTTTAGATATGAAATAGGAATAAATCCCAACCTTAAGTCGAGGTAAGTAAGCGATTGAAGTAACTGTACAGCCGAAGGAATTGAACGTAAACCCGTATTACGAATCCGTAACGTTTCCATCGAACACATCTCACAGATGCATAACGGTAAATGTGCGAAACGATTATCACTGAGATCTGTAATTGCACTGCGAAATTATTTGTTCCGGATGAAAGTAATTCGGGAGTGGTTCCCGGAGATATTTCACTACGACATAAATTGATAATTAATTATTGTTAACTGAAACTAGCACAACCAACTTAATAATTATTTTCAAGTTTCAACATATACTTAAACCTTTCTTTTTTCTTTCCTGAATTTCTTTATTCTTAAATGATTGATAGAATATCAATATCAATCTTTCTTCTTCTCTCACATTTCTTCAATTTTGTATCTCTTAATTAAGAAATAAGAAAAAGGACGAAAAAAAGTGAAGAATGTAATGCACTTGCAAATTACAATAATAAAACAAAAAATATAACAGATCTAAGTGAAAAATTTTCTTTAATCCTTAACTATCTGTTCATATTTCATTCCTAATTAATCTGCAAGTCCATTTTTAATCAATTTCTATTTTTCCTTCTATATCGAATAATTATTAAGTATCTAACAATCCTTGCTATGAATCATATCAAGTTGCATGAGGACAAATAAATAAAGCATAAAATTTCATTACAATAGGTAGAACTAGTAATATTGGAATTTAAATAAATAAAAGTTTGGAATTTTTGGATTGAAGAAGAAATTCATTTTCGAGTTCAAATTTAATCAAGCAGAAACACAAAGGAGTTAATGCCAACGGAAAGCTTTTAACATACCAGCAGAAATTATATCAGATATTTCATATTTAAGGGCAAGATGTGCCGGGAACTCTTTCAGTTTACGACCGGCCAATAATAACACACCGCTTAATTCCGCTTCTTCGAACATTTTATCCACCGATCGAGTTAACAACTAAATTGATAGGAGGGAAAGAAATTCTGAATAAAAATGGAACATTAACTGCACTGTTAATTGCTCACTTTAACTTGACAGAAATATAACAAAAATTTTGGAATCAGCCATAACAGTGTCAGTTTAACAGCATTTATTTGTCATTGTTTTTTAAAAAGTATAAACTGAGCACTTTTTTAAAAATCTTTAAAATGAAAAATTTTGGAAAAAAGTTCAAAGTTCAGGGATTATGCAAAACGAACGAATATTGTTGGTAAAAATTATGAGAAATATTTATCTATTATGAAGGAAAATTTGGTTGAATTTATTAACAAAAAATGTTTGCTTAAAATAGTTACCTGCTGTTGATATGACGTGGATGGTATAGAGATTGGTGGAATTGCTGGAGCAGTTGTGGCCATTACGCCACCACCGCGACGTTTACGCCACGTAGATGCCGTCTCACTAAAAAAAGAAAAGCTATTTGCTTTAGTTTTCTTCGTCACAAAAATTAAATTGATTATAAGCGTAGCAAGCATGGAAAATTTATGAAAAGCGGATATGTCGAGTTTCTTTCATTTTATATTAAATTTACAAAACATTCGGTTCAATTTAAATGAACTGATTACTTACTTATTGATCTACCTAATTAATTGCCAAATTAACTTACGTTTCTAAAACGATAACACTATTCTCATTAGTTTGCAAAAAATATTAATGAAACTTTTTGAAAAGATTCAAGTGAGAAAACATGATAAGATTTTCAAGAACTAAAAATGTTTCAATTGTCAGTTTAATCATTTTTTTAAATTCATTAGAAATTGATTGATCGGAGAGAAGAAAATGAATGGAAAGTTTAATTTGAAAATTTGATGAATCATCCATCTTCTTTTTTCTCTAAATTTTAATCTCTTATCTAATTTGAAGTCAACTAACGGAAAAGCGGATTGAAAAGCTGTCTATTACAGGATGAGTCATCATCGCTTTTGAAATTTCCTATTGGCAAGAAGGGAAAATGAAACTGTTCGGCTTTTCTTAAATTCAATATTTAATTGACAAAGTATATAAGTTTCATTGAATACATTACAAATTTAATCGTTACAATTTGGACAATTTCAATTGACAAAATATTCGCTAAAATCATCGAATTATATTCAGTTACAATTCAATTCATATATGTTAATTATATCGATGTAAGTTTTCGTATATTGATGGTAGCGGTGAAATGATAAGATGGCTTAAAAAATGAATGAAATATATGACAAGCTAGTTGACAATGTTGAATTTAATTAAACCAAATATTTAAGTTAATTTTTACTCCCCCAAATAAATCAAACAAAAGGAAAAAAAGTGGGAATGAATTGAGTGGATATCCGACATTTCCACTGAATAATTATTCATGCCAACAGTTCTTCACTCATTCGTTGGTTGCTAACAAATTTCGTTTTTTCATATTTTGAATTGAATTGAATTGGAAATTAGTACGTTATTAATATTTAATTATTAAATATGAATGAACGATCGATGCAAATAATAAAATTTATAAAATAGATAGAAATGGTAGAATATAAACAGAATCAAAAGGGATGGGGCGGGGACAACGGGAAGTGGGAAGTAAAAGAAGAAGTACAGAGGTGGAAATAGGGGAAAGTAAACGGAACAAGAGGCAATTGTAATATAATTAGTACTAATTAGTGATTAATGTATAGCAAATTTACATTCATAAATATATTTAGTACAAATCCAACTCTTCACGATATTTTTACCTCCAATTTATCCATCACCAACATTTTTACGATTTTATGGATGATATAAAATTGAATAATTGAGTAAATGAGTAATTGACGGAAAAAATGCAAAATTCGTCACATAAAAAATTTTAATCAATTCCGATTTGATTGGAACTTCAATTTTAACTTTTTGATCGGGAATTTTAACTTCAATCCTAATTTTGGTTTATTGTTTCTTTTTGAAAATACAATAAAACGAGACGAAAATATGTAAATAATTTGACGCTTCGAAGAAACATTTATCAATCAAAAATTTTCCATGCACTTCCAACAAAACGAACAAATCTCTCCTTTTGTCAATCTATTTTACAAATTTCTAAAATTGGAGCAGTGTCGATAAGATGGAAAGATCCATTGACAAGTGATTAAGGCGTGAGAATAAGATCGATAAGATTTAATTATGAATTGGCAAAGTCTATTTAATAATGAAATTGATAAATGATAATATCAGAATAAAATTTGCATTTTGGCTAAATATTTCTGTACTTATATTTTATATTTTTAGCCATATTATCACATTTCTGCCATTTGAAATTTCGTTTAAAAAAATGAAAAATTTTGTTTGCAAAAAAAGAAAGAAAAACTTCGACACGAAATCCAAGCGCTTATAAATGAAATGAGAAATGAACAAAATTCATTTTCAGCTAGTAAACAAGGATTTAATTTCATTTTTTATTTTTGTTTTTTTCCATTTCAATTTCCAAATAAAGAAATTCAAAAGTGATGTTTCTCTCTGAATGATTACTAAGCTTCCTTTTTTATACAAACTCGTAATTTTTTATAGTTTAGTAAATTCAAAATTAGAATATAATTAAAATTAAAATTAAAATTAGAATTAAGAAAGCGAAAAAAAACTAAAATCTAAATTTAAATCCAAAACTAAAATTGAAATCAAGTTATAGAATCATTTAGTAACTCCTCCTTTTTTTTCTGGAACATAATTGCGCAAATATATTTACAGTCACTACTTTCAACATTAATTTCATGCTTAAACTTTGGCAAAAACAAATAAAGAAATTTTTCGTGTTGTAAGGTATGTATGTTGGATTTTCGTAAATTAATCTTAATCATTTCCAATTTCGAATTTAAATTTAGAAATTAAAAATTGATAAAAATATTTGAAGCGTAATAATGATCATTCATTGTAAATAACAAAATTCGTAAATAAATGGGACATTTTTTAAGTAAAACAAAATTTAGAAAAATAAAATTAATCAATAGAGAATCTAAGTTGAAAATATATGGAAGAGATGAGATATTTTTAATATGAGATAAAGTAGACATTCAAGAAAAAAAAAACCAAACGTATCAATAAAAATAGTAATAAAGCAGACGGTGTAAAGTACGATGAGCGATGACATGTCAAAATATTGTTAGAATTTAAAATTATTTTCAAAAAAAAAAGACGATCAAAATAACTGGTGGTATGTTTCTTAATTCGGGATAATTTCACGTTTCACTAGAGATGGTTTCATGTTCTACTCGAAATGATTTCACGTTTCACTAGAGATGGTTTCATGTTCTACTCGAAATGATTTCACGTTTCACTAGAGATGGTTTCATGTTCTACTCGAAATGATTTCACGTTTTCACTAGAGATGGTTTCATGTTCTACTCGAAATGATTTCACGTTTCACTAGAGATGGTTTCATGTTCTACTCGAAAT